TGTATTTCATTACGTTATGGTATGATGCCATCATATGTGAGAGATTACAGCTATGCAGACTATATAGCATTCGGCAATCAGCAAAAATCTGCTTTTGCACTCTGTATGAATTCATGTGGTGTGAGTGCTGTAATTATGAGCCGTCAGTGGACAGTTGAATGTGAATGGGATATCTTTGGGTGACCTAGTCAAGGCAAAGTTTTATCAGGCACTGCCGCTACAGAAATTCTCGCTACAGAACTCAATGTCCCCATTTATTGCTACACAGTTTTCTGTAGCTGTTTTTGTATAATAGTTTCAAATCTGTTTTAATTTGTCAACTAAGTATCTTGATTATAGTTAACATGTAATTTTCTGTAAAAACATCTAATCTCCCCATACCACTGACGTCAGTTTTCACTCTTACATAAACGTATGGCCTGGGACCGTAAGTCATTTTGACCACATCTTTTTGCAGTGCATTTGCTTCAGAATCAGTTATGTTGCCTTGAGGTCTCAGCAGCACAGTTCAGTGACGCTGTTGTTCTCTGCGTCTTCTTTTTCATTCCCGCTGTCTTCATGTCCTTCTGTCTCTGGTTGTATCCGCTCTCACTCTGGGGCCTCAGGTTAAGTTGAGTTAAACTCAGTGGTTGCGTATGCAGGATGTGAGAGACATTGCTGTCAGTTTGCCATAAGCTTTTTTTTGGCTGTATGATGGAGACATTAGAACAACAGATCCAGTTGAGCTGATTGTAAAATCAATTATTGATAAACCCTGATGTATTGTACAGTATAAAAGCCATTTGAATGTAAAAAATCACACATTATTTGTATGCTGTGTATATTTATTATGTATATATAAATACACACACATGCATGTATACATTTCAGAAAAATATGTTATGCTGATATATTAAATATATTTATTTAATATAGAAAATTATATGAATATAAATATAGACATGTAAATATTTTCAAAATATATACTGTATGTGTGTGTATTTATATATACATAATAAATATACACAGAACACACACATATATTATGCATAAACAAAAACGTTTATTTTGTATACGATTAATCGTGATTAACCGTTTGACAGCACTAATAACAACATTAATAATAGTAAAATGACAACAATAGTAATACTAGTAAAAGTTAGTTATTTTATTTTACGTGTCAGTTATTTTATATCATTTTTTTATATATAAATAAATTTATTTTGCTCTTTTTTTTTTAAACATCGAAACAAATACACTGTGCAAAATGTCTGAAAAATGCACTTCAGCAAGAAAAGTCAGTAGGCACTGAGTTCAGGTTACACCCTGATCAATCTGTCTGTTCTCTCAGGCCCCGCATTGTGAGCATGCTTTCTGTAACGCCTGCATCACACAGTGGTTTGCACAGCAGCAGATCTGCCCTGTGGACCGCTCCGTGGTGACTCTTGCCCATCTTCGACCCGTTCCCCGAATCATGCGTAACATGCTTTCCAAGCTGCAGATCTCCTGTGATAACGCTGGCTTCGGCTGCACGGCCACCCTTCGGCTCGACCAGCTGCAGTCACATCTCAAGGACTGCGAGCACAACCCTAAACGACCCGTCACGTGTGAAGAAGGCTGCGGGTATCTACCATATTTATCTAGTTCTCACTTAACCCACTCATGTGCTGTATACATGTGTTTGACTGTAGTTCCATGGTTCCATGGTCTTTTTCAGCTCTACATCACACAGTTTTTGAATGCAAGAATACATCCTGTGTGAACAGCCCTTAATTGTCTTCAGTGTTTGTTTGACATATCACAATTGCCTTTTTACTCTGCAGGCTAGAAATGCCCAAAGATGAGATGCCCAATCACAACTGTATTAAGCACCTACGCAGCGTGGTGCAGCAACAGCAGACCAAGATTGCAGATCTAGAGAAGACTGCAGCTGAGCACAAGCACCAACTTGCAGAACAGGTCAGACCTGTGTGTTTTATGTTTTATCATGAGGCTGCGTAAATGTCACTGTCACGATGTCACGTGAATTTATTTGAATTGTAACATCTTGAATTCTCCGCTCTGATCAGCACACACCACACTGCTTTTAATATTCTCATGATTTCTGTTATTCAGAAACGTGACATCCAGCTCCTGAAAGCTTACATGCGAGCGATACGAAGCGCTAACCCTAACTTACAGAACCTGGAGGAGAGCATAGAGTACAATGAGATCCTAGAGTGAGTGAAATATTCTTCTCATATATATTTATAAATTCAAGATAGATGTTTAACGGTTTAAAATCTTTGTAATGTATTTTTTTACAAAGAAAAAATTCTTTTTTTCTTTGTATATATATATATATGCAGCAACATAGACTTAATTTATGACCTAACATATGTAATTAATATATTTTATTTATTTATTTATTTTTAATAGGTCTCTTATGGTCACCATGGATGCATTTATTTAACCTAAAATACAGTAAATACAGTAATATTCTGAAATTATACCATTTATTATTATAATTGTAATGTTGAAAACAGTTGTGCTGCTTAATATTTTTGTGCAAATCTTGATACTTTTTTCAGATTTTTTTGATGACTAGGAAGTTCAAAAGAACAACATTTATTTGAGATAGAATTCTTTAAAAGTCTCTTTTGTCACTTTTGATCAATTTAATGCATCCCTGCTAAACAAAAGTATTCAAAAGTACACCAAACGTTTGAACGCCAAAGTTTTATATACATTTGTACATATACCATCAATATATATTGTGTGTGTGTGTATATATATATATATATATATATTTATAATATATTTGTGAAAATAATAAGGCTAAGGCCACAGCCATAGTTATTTGTATTGTGTTGTGGATAAAATGTAAGTCTACTATGTAAACAAGGAGTAAGTAAATTGCTCATGAATACTGATAAGTTACTGTTGAGTAAGTAAATAATGCTGATTCCATAATTGCTACTGTGATGACTCTCAAACTAACCACTCTCATTTGGCCACAGGTGGGTGAACTCTCTCCAGCCCGCTCGCGTGACCCGCTGGGGAGGAATGATCTCCACACCCGACGCCGTCCTCCAGGCCGTCATCAAACGATCGCTCATAGACAGTGGATGCCCGTTGTCGATCGTTAATGACCTCATCGAGAACGCCCACGAGCGTAACTGGCCCCAAGGCTTGGCCACGCTGGAGACGCGGCAGATGAACCGCCGATATTACGAAAACTATGTGGCCAAGCGCATTCCGGGTAAGCAGGCCGTGGTGGTGATGGCCTGCGAGAACCAGCACATGGGTGAAGATATGATTCTGGAGCCGGGGTTGGTTATGATCTTCGCTCATGGCGTTGAGGAGATCTTATAGTCTGTACATAGGTGGGTGCCAATGATGAAAAGCAGAAAGGGGTTTACAGAGACTGAATTGATTCCCCACTCTAAAAAATTCTCAGTTCATCCCACTTAAAATATCAAGACCTCTTTGGCAGTCGTTACCTCAAATTTTAAGGAAGGACACAGGCAGAGAAGCTCTCCGCTCGTGGACCTCCAGCATTCCCTATTCTCTTTGCCTTAAATGGACATTTTCCAAAAAGTGGACCCTAATGACAAAAACCAACTTGAAACATTATCAGGGACGATGGTACACGTATGTTTTAACATTAACATTGAAATCAAAAGGATTTGAAGTGATGTCTAATTTCACTCCCAGCTTAAGACAAGTTAAGATTCTTGTAAATACAGATGATAAAGAAATATAGACAAATATGCTATCTGTTCTTGTTCTAATAGAATAGTGGACATTTTTGCTGTCTTCATCTCAGTTTGCTATTTAGAGTAGAGTGCTTTGACTACCATGGATCTCAGTCTTTCTTGTTTTATCCCAATAGCGCTATGATTAAAGTATGCTAGATAAAGAACTCAGCTCGGTGTTTGCACTGTGTGGTGATTGGACAAACAAGATGTCATGAATCTCGTTTTGTGAAGATGTTTGTTTTTCTTGAGTGGAAAGAGTAATGGAGAGGATATATATGATGGAAATCAACAGCTGATTTGATACCTTTTATTCCACTCTTTAGTTTTCAATTCAATTTTCTCCAGAAATAACTTTTTTTTTTTTTTCTTCTTCTACTGGCATCACTGGCTATTACACTATTATAAATCAGAACCAGATTTTTCTTTAAGATGGTCTTAGTGACCTCAAAGTTTTTTGTCTAGTAGTTTCACCATATGCGAACCCATAAATGATGGATGAAAAGCTTATGAATCAATATGAAGTATAAAAACATTGTTAAAAATGACCAACTTACCGCTAATGTAAAACATGATGTCTGTGGGATCTCCTGCAGATGCTCAACCATATCTGGACCTTTTTACTGTGGTTTACATCAGAACTGTTTTTTTATCCATCATTTACCACAGCACCTCTTGATGAATTTCAAATAATAAAGAGAGATGGAATGGTTGAATGTTTGTGTATATTGTGCAGTTGACTCCTGGATAAGTGGATAAGAATTTATTTTGCATATTTTACGTACCTTTGTTGTACATAGTTGATTTAAGAATCAGTTTAATTTGTGTTGTACGATAGTTGTCTCTGCAACCAAAGTGTTTTATTGTGTTGTATGCACATCGTGCTTGCTTTTTTGTTGTTGTTGTCATTGCGCGGACACCAATAATGTAAGTTCAGCTATTCTGAAATGTATCTCCAGAGCTATTGTGTGTCATCTGCTTCAGTGTTACATAGACCTGAATGCTCATTGCGTTGTTTACAGTAGCTTTTTTGCAAATGTTGTTCAATGAGCTGAAAACTAAGGACCGAGAATGTTTTACTCTGCAATATTCAGCCAGGTCTGTGTGTGAATTAGAGAGAAATGTCTGTGAACTTTGCCTTATCACACTTCATTCGATGCTTCACTGCATGATCGCTGTGTAACGTGTCACATGGCTTCTCTGCACATCGTCTCACAATCGCACCCTGAAGCTGGAGAGTTTAAACATGACCCAGTGCGTTTCACTTCTTGGTTCTGATGGATCTGATCACCTTCCGTATCATTCATAAAAATAAAAGTTCACATTTTTGCGTTCGATTAATCATCTCTTACTGGACACGCAAGACTTTCTAGACTCTCAGGTTTTATCATCTGATAACAGGGATGAAACATTCGAAGAGCTCATGTTTCCCGCTGCAGCATTGTCCGTGGATGTGGCATTCTTCTGTTTGTTTGTTTTTGTCTTTTATTCTTGCTTTTGTGCTGTGGGTTACTGACAGAATATGAATAAATATCAATGATTTTGCAATACGACACTAGTGTCTTTGTCTTTATTATTAACATGGTAGCAGGAGCGTCTTGTTGGTTGTGTTGTTTACATCAGCTGTTTTCAGCTGTTTTAAACAGCAAAAACATGCAATGCAATGCTAACCAGAATAGTGAGCTTACTTCCTCATGTTTTTGCTGTTTTTCCTCTCTTCTACCACAGAATGTCACTAAAGTGCAATTTAACTGTTAAAATGAGCAGTCCGTAGAGTTTTAAAGGATTTCTGTTTAGTAATCCTGAAGATATTGATTAGCTTGTTCAGGTGTGTTTGATTAGGGTTGGAGCTGAACTCTGCAGGACTGCGGCTCTCTAGGACCGAACTTGCCTACCCCTGCCATATACCATAATTTTTAGCTGAATTAACTGTTATTGTTGCTATTTGGTGACCATGTAGTCACTTCTACCTGCTGATCTCTGTTCAGTGTTTTGAGGCCAAACAGCATACATATCCACAAGCACGCAGGAATAATCCTCCTGTTGTTGGTATTTTCTTTGACCAGCCTGTAGCCACTAATGCAGAAAGTCATTTTAATCCAGCCCATTATAGTACCAGTGAGGATAGGAATGTCACATTGTTTTTCTAGCAGCTCTCATTACCAGCTCCTGCTCCACACGAAATACACTAACTGCTCACACTTTTGGTAATAAGATTTTCTTATGGTTAGTGTATTGCACAGTATGTTCAGGCGGGTCCAGAAGTATTCGGACACTGACTGAGTTTTCCACTACAATGGATTTGAAGTAAAACAATCAAGATGTGATTAAAGTGCAGACTTTTAGCTTTATTTTAAGAGGTTCCACAAAAATGACATTTACCATTTATCATTTACAGCCATTTTAGGCAAAGTACCTCCATTTTCAGGGGCTCAATAGTATTTGGACAAAGTGACAATTGTAAATAAGCACAATTTTAATACTTGGATGAAAATCCTTCCTGGAGATGCTTTGCCATGTCTTCACTGCAGCCATCTTGAGTTGCTGCTTGTTTGTGGGTCTTTCTGCCTTCAGTCTTGTCTTCAGTAACTGAAAAGCATGCTCTATTGGATTGAGATCAGGCAACTGACTTGGCCATTGAAGAATATTCCATTTCTTTGCCTTCAAATAGTCTTGAGTTGCTTTCGCAGTCATTATCCATCTGCACTGTGAAGCTGCGTCCTATCAGTTTTGTAGCATTTGGCTGAAAGTGAGCAGTGAGTATAGCCTTAAAGACCTCAGAATTCATCCTACTACTTCTGTCAGCAGTTACATCATCAATAAACACCAGTGAGCCCGTTCCACTGGCAGCCATACATGCCCATGTTTGACAATTGAAGTGGTGTGCTTTGGATCATGAGCTGTTCCTTTCTTTCACCATACTTTTCACTTCCCATCAGTTTGGTACAACTTAATCTTGATTTCATCAGTCCAAAGAATCTTATTCCAGAACATGGGAGGCTTTTTTTTTAGATGTTTTCTGGCAAAAGAATACCCTCTGTATTTACATTCATGAAGGCGTCTCTTGATTGTAGATTTTGACAATGATGTGCCTACCTCCTCCAGAGTATTCCTGATTTCTGTTGAAGTTATGAAGGGGTTTTTCTTCACCAAGGAAAGGATTCTGCGATCATCCACTTTAGTTGTCTTCCGTGGTCTTCCAGGCCTTTTAATGTTGTTGAGCTCACCCATGCTTTCTTTTTTCTTAAGAATGTAGCCAACCGTTGATCTGGCCACACCTAAGGTTTTTGAAATTTCTCTTTGTTATGTTGTTTTTTCTGCTTAATGATGGCCTCCTTCACTTTCATCGATATCTCCTTGGACTTCATATCGGTAGCACCATTCAAACAGCTTCCAAATGCCAATTTGATACCTTATATCAACTCCAAATCTTTTATCAGCTGAATTTGTCTTGAAGTAACGAGGAATGGACAGCACCTGGTCAATTAACCTTTTCTTAGTCAATTGTCCAAATACTATTGAGCCTCTGAAAATGGAGGTACTTTGCTTAAAATGGCTGTAAATGATAAATTGTAAATGCCATATTTTTGTGGAGCCTCTTAAAATAAAGCTAAAAGTGAGCACTTCAATCACATCTTGATTGTTTTATTTCAAATCCATTGTAGTGGTGTATAAAGGAAAAAGCTCAAAAACTCAGTCAGTGTCCGAATACTTCTATCCATATCCATTCACTCATCCATCAATCAATCTATCTATCTATCTATCTATCTATCTATCATCCGTCTGTCCATCCACCCATCTATCTAGTTAGGATTTTATTCTGATAAAAACCAGTTAAACAGTTTTGTTTCATGTCTCCCTAATAAAGGAAATGGTCCTTAATCCCTTTCAAAAAAGTAAGGATTTGATTGGAGCTTTTACAATCTGGTACCACAAATTCCTGTATCAGTTAATCGGGCATTTGGCAATCAAATATATTGCAGTTTAATTATGTGATAACTTTTGCTCTATCTGAAAGTACAGATATAAATACAATCACTCAGATGCCAAACATCATACTGAAAATGATGGCATTTGATGATGACACTTTTAATAGTTTAAATGTCACACCACCCTATTGATTGTCCATGTGTAACAAAAATTTTAATAAGTGCTTATACTATCTATCTATCTATCCATCCATCCCTAGAGTTAGTGCTCGATGAGAAGCAGTTCATACACACACACACAGCATCTGATCAAAGTGCATCACTCAGCTCAGACACATGAGTGCGGGCGGTGCTGTGACTCTATGGGAGTGTCACTCACTGTTAGGCGTGTTCACTTCACTGTCAGTTCTCCACCGGACAAACACAGCTAAACGCTTTCTCACAGACGAAGCTGGTTCTGCCTCCGTCGCCACCTATTTATTAATCTTCTAAGCGCTGAAGCAGTTTTCGAAGTGCATCTGACACTGGCGATTTTGCTCTTGGCGTCTGTTTTAAAGATAAGACGGAATCACTAAGCTGCGGACCTCAAGATATTAAGGTAAGTTAACACCAACGCTTATTTATTTTTGTGGTAAAACGAGCGAGTTTTAGAGAAGTGACGACCGTTTAAACAGTAACAGTGATTTTATACTGTGTCGCATGTAGTTTTTATGCATGACTTCTTACGGTAGAGACTCATAAGGTTGCGTCTCAAAACCTCTGACTGTCCAAAAAGCTTGTTCGAACGTTTGTATCGATGCCCAGAATGCAGTCTAGTTAACGATGGGAATCGCTAGGAATTTAATGATTCTACATTCGATTCGTCTTGACGAGTTCGGTTCCATAACGGTTCCAATTAGAATTCTTTTAGTAGCCTACTTTGACGAAGAAATGTCTTTTTAAAGATCCTTATTAGAGTTACTGCCCTCAACAGTTGTTAGGAAATGATAAGATAATTCCAGGTTTCTGTGCGTTTAACAAATGCACAGAAATACATTTAATACAATATTATTGCGAAAGGTATTGTTTACGTAGACTTTTAATGACTTTTCACAGACTTTTCCAGAGGCAGCACAAATGCAGTCTGATAACTGGTTCTAAATATTAAATACAAATACTAAACCAACAAAATGTGATGATAACATATTTCAATTAGTTCTTAATTTTTATAAAAATAAATTCAATACGTGTATCTCAGATTCAGTTGTCATAACAGTCAACAAATAACTCGTGATGTTAACATAACATCATGATGAAATTATTAAGTTGCGGTTCAGTAAATGAGTAATACAATTGCTCCTGATTCGTAAGTGTTTTTGATTTACTAAAAGTATCGGTTCATAAGATTCATTCTTTTGACAGGCAGTCTGCTCTTGTCGCGCTGTATGTTTATGATTCATTAAAAAGAACCGGCTCATGAGTCATTTGTTAGGGAATCGGACTACTGTTTGTTGTTTGTTTCGGACTGTAAATTCAGTAGTAGTATTGCGGTGAATAATAGAGCAGGAAACGTCGTCAGAGTTGTTTTTAGCAGTCCGTTCCAAATAAATGCTTGTTAACTCATCCGAACGTAACGAAAATTATTCGGTTTAGGTATTTTAGTGAGCTAAAGATAGACAGCTCACTAGATTTTGAGACACAGCCTAGGTGTGTGATTCTGTCATGTTTTGTAATGCACAAACCAGTCTATTTTTAATTGTACCAGTTAACTGCATTTTGGTGGTTTTCCTCTTTGCTTTGAAGTTGTTGACTTGGGTTGTTGTCAGATGTTTTGTTATTCTCTTTCACTGAACTATTTGCATAGACCAGGGCTGTCCAAACTCGGTCCTGGAGGGCCGGTGTCCTGCAGAGTTTAGCTCCAACCCTAATTAAACACACCTGAACCAGCTAATCAAGCTCTTACTAGGCATAGAAACTTCCAGTCAGGTGTGTTGAGGCAAGTTGGAGCTAAATTCTGCAGGACACCGGCCCTCCAGGAACGAGTCTGGACAGCCCTGGCATAGACTGTGGATCCCGAGTCATACTTAAGTGCTTGGAAACTTAAAATGTGCTTAAAAAGAAGTAAAAGGTGTTTTTTGGAAGTTTTTTACTGTTTAAAAACACAAAGGCTTGGTTCTCCAATGTAATTCATAGAATACCATGCTGGGAAAAAAAACAGATTAAGGTGTTTTAGGTGGTTTAGGATGGTCTAACTCAGTGTTTCTCAACCCTGGCACATTTTGTGTGTCTCCCTAATCAAACACACCTGATTCAACTCATTAGCTCATTAAAAGAAACTCCAGGACCTGAAATGGGTGTCAGATAAGGGAGACATACAAAATGTGCAGTGTTGGGGGGCACTCAGGACCAGGGTTGAGAAACACTGGTCTAACTGGTCTCCCAACTTGAGTAGTCTAATCTGGGCTAAGGTGGTCTCCCAGTCTGACCAGTCAAAAAAGTTCCCCATACCCCCTCATAACGGTCAAAGCAACCTGGTTTAAGATGTTTCATTCAGCAGTGTACCATGACTAAATATTTGTACCTTTTTTGCTTCTTATGTGCTATTTGACACATTTATCACATCTGATTAAATACTTGTCGCATTCTCTGGATTTTTTCTCTTGAATTGTTTATTTTACTGTTATCTCTTCACTAGGTTGCTGACTATCTAAATGCCTGCATTTCAGCGTACTTCTATTTACTGTGAACTGATTATGTAATTTAAGTTCATCCTGTTTCATCACCATAAGAGATTTCAACTTTTCCAGTTCGACAGGCATCACATTTATAACAGACTGGAAGCATTTTGTCACATAGTTCGGGTCACGACATGAGTCACGACAGTTGAAGCAAAGGGTTTTGAAGTGTTCTTTCAGTTCCCCTGCATTTACACCTTTTTGCCAAATTACTTACAAAGTCAGTCATTCTTGTTTTTCCACTCTTGTTTCTGCTGTCGTTAACAAAACATATCCGTCTCAGTGCAACATGCTTATATTTTAGTTTGCGGTTTTGTATCTCTGACTCATTTGAAAGCCTATACTAAATTTGTGGATGTCCCTGAAGAAATTAAAAGTCCTAATTTAGTCCCACATTCTCTCCGGAGCTCTTGGCTTAGCTTACCTGATAATGGTAACTCATTCTCTGAGGAATCTCTAGCCTTATGGGCTTGGCTAGAAAATCACAGGGTTGGTTTACTGTCGTCCCAGTAATCTCCTGCTTTTATAACTCATGAGCCGAGCAGTGAAAACTGGACTCAGGAATAGCCCGTCTTTCCTAAAGCTCAATCATGATCTAACCATGTTTATGCAACAGAAACAGACGAAGGTCTAGCTTTGTGAATGGAATGTGGGTCAATATTCACTTGACCACAAATTTCCTCACTTTTAACAGGGCAAATGGTAAGTACTTATTAATCTCTAATAAGTGAGGGAACAAAAACTGGATATTGCTGATCCAGATAGCTTGTGTATTCCCACATTTCCATTCAGTGGTCAGTAAAACACCACCATCTTCTTTGGCTTTTGCAGAATAGTTGCAAATCAGAATGGTACAGATTTATAAGAATATCAGGGCTGCAGATAAAAAAATGAGGACACAAAACAGCCACAATTCTCAAAACAAAAGTCTCACAAATGTACTAATAAAACAAGCACATCACAGTATTGGTTCCTAGTTCTTAATGAAGAATCACTTTTCTTTTACAATAACAAAAAGTGATTCATTGTTCAGTCAAGGAGTCATTTAATGAATTAACAACTCAGAATGATTCACTGAGTGAGTGAGTCTGACTCATTCGTGAGTTGCTGTTTCGCGAATCTTTCAACTGACACTGTCACTGTTTGTTGTGCTGTGAAACACTGGCACTGCCAAATAAGACTATATATGATGAAATGTCAAATTTAGTCAAAAGCTACAAGCTACGCAATATCGCGTTCATAATTGCAGATGAATCGCCTGTGATTATGAACGCGATATTGCGTAGCTTGTCAGTGAACAACAGCTCTGTGTAGTAAATGCCGCTCCATCTGAACGCACGTGATGGAGATTTACTACTAATCACAGAACCGGCTTTACTGACGAGATGCGCATGACAATCGCATGCGATTAATCGTGCAGCCCTCCCATATTTACGTCACTGTGTGGGAAGATTTGCGTAACACCGCCCAAATGTTTACGCAAAGAAAGAAGGTGTAACTTTTATTCTCACTGTAGTATTGTTGCTGCCGCCGCTGCCATGTTGTGGAGATGCTGTGTGTTTCCAAATATGGTAAGGGGTGTAACATTTCCGTAACACGCTTGAGGTATTCGGCCAATCACAACGCACTGAATAGCTGGCCAATCAGAGCACACCGCTCTTTTCAGAACGATGAGCATTGTAAAAATCAATGTGTTTCAGAAAGGCGGGGCAAAGAGGAGCAACAGTAATGTGTTTTTTGAACATTAAACCGCGTAAACACATTGCATTACACCAAATACACAAAATAATGCTATTTTTAGCATCGTCAATAAAATAAAATAATTTTATTATAATTTATCTTAAATACACAATTTTTATTGTAAGTGTAATATATATTAGTAATATTACACTCTAAAAAAATGCTGGGTGAAAAACAACCCAACTTAGGTTATTTGGCAAACCAGCGCTGGGTAAATATTGGACAGAACACATACTGGGTTGTTTTGACCCAGCTGGTTGGGTTAATGTTTTTACCCAACATGCTGGGCTGTTTTATTTAAGTCAGCTATTGTTTAAAAATTATTATATTTTGCTGCCTTAAAATGGGCTGGAAATTAAAAATCACATACAGAATTACTATAGGCAACAGCAATAATCAAAAGGTGAACATTTATCATTAAGCAAGAACACATGGACAAAATACAAGACAAATTGAATTGATCTGGGTGAATACAGCATAGTTTACAATATTGCATAGGCCTACATTTTAGAAATAAAAAAAAAAATTTACATTTAAAAGTATTCAAGTAAAATACTTGTAACATTTAAAAGTATAAGTGTATTCAACCGTTCTCTGTAATCACTTTTTACCGAAATAGTGCTAATTCTCGTGCCGGTGTGCCACCGGAATCTGAGCCGGTGAAGGGCTGCTGTTCGCCGGGGGAACTCGTAGCTGAAAGATGCCGTGACTGACTCCATAACCTGCCTATAAACAAACAGTGCTGAGATTAGAGAACATATTTTAACATCAAATTAAATTAAACTCAGTATTATAATTAATAAAATCCATTTATTTTTGCAAGGCAAAACGTGTTTCCATCATGTGAAAGGACCGCTGCTGACACAGCTGACTGACATCTCGTCCTTATGTTGCGTTGTGTAAAATAATACAATTTACGGCACAGTAAAGACTTTATAAATGAAATAAAATGTATAAAAACCTTTATTTCACTGACGAAGTGCACCAAATCGGCAGCGGTGCTGAGAAACGCTCTCCTGTAGAAGACTCAAAAAGACTGCGCACTGACTGTAACTCAGCAGCTGGGTTATTTAGTTGGAGACAGGCTCAACCTAGTGGTTGAATAGAAAAAAAAACCCAGCATTAAAAATGACCCAGCAACTTC